TAACCCCAATTAAATAACATCCATCCAAAAGAACATCTTTAAAAGAGATGCACAGCCATACCTCTTCTACATACATATAACAGCAATGAACACTTAGGTTTTTAGGTCCATATCAATTCAGCATATATCAATTCATATAACAGCAATAACATAAAAACCGTGCCTCCCTAACCAAGAAAGATTATTAACTGAAAAAAAACGTTTCAAAACAAAGGCACGACCATGCATCTGTTGAATGTTTACTATCACAGCCAAAGATGCATCACGCAGGCAGCACGCAACGAATTAAAAGAATTCAATTTCGAAATTCTACGCCTGGAACCGCCGCGTGACTAGCAACTGCTCTTTGGCGGTTTCCTTTTTTGCACGACAAAACAACCCTTTCACTTTTCTGACTCCATTTCATCCTCTTCCTCGAAAGTTTCTCGCCTGCCGCAGTTCACCACCGCACACCTCCAGCCATGGACGACGGGAAACTAACAACATTCACCGAACACATCACTACCCACGGTACAACCGTGCTCGAGGTGGTGTACACCAACGGCCCAAGGACCGTGGAGCAGATCATCAACAAGTACGAAGAATGGCTAAAGGAGGAGAAGAACAAGTTCGTCGGCCTCGACCTCGAGTACACACGTAAGAGCAGTTACATACGACAAGGGATCGTCGTCGTCCAACTTTCCATGCACCAGCATGTCCTTGTATACCACTACTGCAGGTCCGAGCGCTCCCAGGCGTTAGTTGACTTCCTGCAACGAAAAGCGGTAACTTTCACTAGCGTCGACACCAGGAACGACAAGACCATGCTTGCCCGTGCATGCATCAGAATTCCAGACGAGCACCACGTCGACATCCAGAGGCTATTCCGCATCAAGGTGGTGGAGAAAGGGACTCCATGGCTGACCTTGCAGCGGCCATCATCGACCCCTCATACAAGAACATGAAGAAATCATTCCCAAAGGAGAAGCACCAGTTCTGGGAGTGGAAGCCACTTTCCCCAATACACCTTGAGTACGCGGCAAAGGACGGGTATGTTAGCTACGAGTTGTACCGTAGAATCCTAATCATCAAGAACGGGCTACGTCACCTCCACCAACAACAAATGAAAGAAAGACTCCGCCCACGTAAGAACAATGATGAGGGATCTTCCAGCGGCTAGAAGCGCCGGAAGGGAAACAGTGGTTGGTAAATTGCGAGAAAATGGATGTCTACCTATGTTGTAAATATGTTTGTTGTTGCTCAAAGATGTTGTGTGTATTGTATTACTATTTTACGTTTGAACTTTGAACACAGTGGTGTGCTCATGTACTAATTTGGATTGTATGAACCTATGTTGTAAATATGTTTGTTGTTGCTCAAAGATGTTGTGTGTATTGTATTACTATTTTATGTTTGAACTTTGAACACAGTGGTGTGCTCACGTACAAATGCATACTACGTTTTGCGTGTCTAAATGCAATTAGTAAGTTATGTCTAAATGCAATTAGTAACTTATGTCCCAGTGCTGAGCAAGCATATATTGTATCCATGATTATAGAACGAGAGATATCTCGCACGATATTGTATTATAATTTTCATACTCAACCTTTACAAGATGCATCGTGCATTTACAAGAATATGTGATGATATCATTGTAAACTCTTGGTACAATGCATATTAAACATTGGCATGAGCAATTCATAAATATTGCAGAAGATCATTCGGTACAGTGTCACAAGCAACGATAACTTTGTTACCTTAACCACATTGGAAAAAAATCCTTGCCTCCATTTCACATCAAACACCGCTCCGTCGATTCAGAACATCCTTGCTATTCTACACAGGTTCATCTCCGTACACCAGTTCTGCACAATGCCACAAAACTACACTACTGCGTGCAACTGATCTATTTACAAGCGTGACTCACTAAGTATCTACTAAATCCATGCCTGTGGTGCCACGCACCCGTGACCCTAGAGACTACACACCTGTGCATCATTAACCGAGCCCCTCTAACCAGATATTGGGACCGATGCCTCTACTGCCGTGCACCCGTGCCTCTAGAATCTTGACACCAGCAAGTGGGTTCAAAACCGTGCCTCCAGACAACCGTGCTTGTACTGACTGCAGTGCCTCTGTTTGCTTGATCAACGTGCCTCACTTGAAACCCAAAGTAACTCTACGTGCTCCGCACGCGTGATCTCCAATGCAACTTTGGTGCTGCACAGATGCGTCTCTCACTATACCCGTACCTCCACAACCGTGCTTGTACTGACTATAATTCCATGCCTCCGTTTTGCTCAGTCCACGTGCCTCACATAAAACCAACAGTAACTCTACCTCCTACACACACACGAGCCTCTCGCATGAAACCCATAGTATCTCGCCCGTACAACTTTGGCGTTGCACACATGTGGCTCTCAGTATACCCGTGCCTCCTCACAACCATGCCTGCACTGACTTCAATTATGTGCCTTCATTTGCTTAAACCACGTGCCTCACATAAAAGAGATACACGGCCGTGCCTCAGAGTAAACAACACACGTGCATCAACTGTATTCAAAACTATAACCCCAATTAAATAACATCCGTCCAAAAGAATATCTTTAAAAGAGATGCACAGCCATACCTCTTCTACAAACATATAACAGCAATGGACACTTAGGTTCTTAGGTCCATACCAATTCATATAAAAATACAACATTAACCGTAGCATAGATTTTTAAACAAAAACCATTTATGTTCAAAGGCTATAACTAACATCACTGCGGCAGAAGATTGAAGATAACAACAAGCCTCCCATCACACTCTTTGAAAGTTATCAGCACCAAGCTGTTTACTTCAATAGACGATGCCTGAAGAAAATCACTGAAACCTTCCTGTTTGAACACCATTCTACTACCCAAGCCAATGAAGTAGGAGCAAGAAGTGCTCACATATCTATCATCATCACCAGATTCCAAAGTAACTTCAAGGGTTAAAACGCCAGTCGTAGGAAAAGTCACAAACTCCTTCAAACTCCTCACAACAATACCAGGAATAACCTGACAAAAACAACAAGCTATCAGAAATAGAAAAAAAATAAAAACTATAAATAGAAGAGATAATAAAAATAAATAAATAAACAGAAACAAAGAAAAAACAGTGGAAAAAAATCTGACCATATGATGACAATTAACATTCATTGAATCAATCCTGTGAACAAAAGGACAACACGGTATGTAGACATCATCAAATAGTTGACACCTCATGAAATACATCTGCTGATAATTAAGAAAAACACCACGGGTGTAATAACAACTCCCGACAAGCTCCATCTCGGAGTCGCTCAAACCATCAAGAGCTACAAAATATAATTACACAGGCTCAAGGGAACAGAAAAATCATCATGTGCAATAAAACAAGCTAAAAACTTCCTTAAAAATAAACCTTACCAACAGAAGGTAAAGGAGACAACGCATCTCCAAGACCAACATGATAAAAATCAATACCAATCCATGTTCCATAGTGTTCAAGCCTAATGGTCATTATATCACGAGGACGAACACCATAATCACTGACCAATCATTCCCAGGAAGGACCATGGAATTTACTCCTCAACCGACCATGACTAAACAAAACACCATACAAATAACCCTCATTGCACCGAAAAGCAAGATCAGTATCTTCGTCACCCCTTCTTATGGCTAAAGCCCTGCACTCCTTGATGTAACGAGCAAGATGAGCTCTAACACTGCATGGAACATACTGCACAACAAATCAAAACAAGGATCATAATCAAAACCTAAACAGCATGAGCAGCACCAAAAGAAATAAAAGTGTGTGCCAAAAATTGAACAATTATAAAATGATATTCTTACAACACGCCTCCAACAACGCCGATCCAGGACCACACTGAACCCATCTATAGAAGAATCAACAGAAGAACACGGGCCACCAGGCATACGGCAAAAAGGACAAGCCATAACTGCAAGAAACATAATGATTATCAAGAACTAATCACACAAAACCCAGTTGAAACTTGACATCTGATAGTGTTGGCAGTCCCCACCTGTAACTACCCCATAAATCTCCATATCCCGGAAATATAATGGGAACAAAAAGAGAAACCCGAAAGGGAAACAGGGAACCCACGAAGGCAACCGGTAGGGAACGGAGATCACGCGAACGGGGAAGCGCGGTCGACTCTAAAGAAGGACCAAGGAAGGGCAGGCAACAAGCGCGCCGGCCGGGACAGGGGGCGCCGTAACCACGCAACAAGAGCGGCGGCCGCGATAGACGAAGACGACGGCAAAGAAAGAACGGTACTCCACGACGGTTCGCCCACACCAGAAAGAAAACAAATCTCAAAACAGATCAAAAGGTTTTACAAAACATTAGAAGTATAAAGACTAAAGTGAAAAAAAAACCCACAAAGGGAAACCAGAAACCGGAAAACACGGTTTGTCGCGCGCGGAGCGCATCGAAAAAGTCTCCCGACCGTTCCGCGCGTGACACTTGGCGCGCGCGGAGCGCTTCCCGACTAATCGTTGCGAGGAGCGCTCCTCAATTAGTGATTTCGGAGGAACACGTAGCTACGTCGGCTCAAGTACGTACTACGGCCCGGCGATTACTTTCCGGCGAGATGCGTAGGTACAGAGGCCACCGCCCACCATTGATCGATTATTCTTGGAGACACAATACGCAAGCTGCAAGCACCAAGCTATCAAGGCCTAGCTACTAGAGCCGCCGGCTGGCACGATCGATCTGAGCTAGCTCAACACAAGAACACGGGACGCCGATTGCATCGCAACAGGACCGTCTCTCTCGTGGGAATATTATTTGCTTTGATTGATTGATCTGGTTGTTTACACGGGGTTACAAGAGTATAAAAAGGAACCTAAACTAGCCAGTACCTATCCTACTGGGTGATGGCCTCCAAGGCTCCAACTCCAATCCCGTACTGGACAAGGACTCCACATCGTCGTTACACGTGAAGCGAAATCGCCTTCTCGCGCTCTCGCCGGACGCCCAGTCTCGCGTCAGGCAACGGTGCCCGGGAGCGAGAGCGCGCCGACGAACGGGAAGCTGACCAGCGGCAGCGCCACCAGCCCCCGCCGCCCGGCCGCCATGTCCATCAGCGCCTTCCTGATGGGCCGCAGCAGCTCGGCCACCAGCCGCCACCGCACCAGCCGCGACACGGCCAGCCTGCACCCGCGGCCGCCGCTCCTGCGCCGCCCGCCGAGCTGCACCGTCCTGCCGCTGCGCCGCCGGCGCAGCCTCGGCCGCTCGCTCCGCGCGCCGCCGCACCACCGCACCACCGCGGCCAGCCTCGTCGACATGCCGAGAAATACACTACCGCACTCTGTTCGGCTCTGCTATATAGCTAGCTGCTACTAGTAGCTCTGTTGGATCTTTCGAGTGGTGTGCAAGAGATGAATTTGCTTTGCTGTGTGACCAGAACCGGTGAAGGTTTATATAGTGGAGCGAGCGTGAGAGAGAGTGGCTATCAGCTTAGCAAATTAAGTAGGTGAGGATTGAAATGGTAATTAATAACGTGTAGCCTGCTGCGATTTGGTTGTAGTGAACTGGTGATGATGATGGCGTGATGATTTCGTGCCACTGGAAGTTAGCCAGGCTAGCTAGCAAGGTCTACCAGTAGGACGACGCATATATGCTAATCATTGGCACACAGCCCAAGTGTACATGACCCATGAGAAAAAAGATGTGATCTCATCATGGGAAAAAAGCTAGCTATAAATCTAAATTAAGCAAAGTTTAAGGAGCACATATGTACTTATATTGTATGATGTACCACAAGATGGCCAACTCGGAGGCTGGCTAAATCATGAGAAACTTTTATCAGCTCGATTGATCGCTAGCTTCCATTTCAGAACATGGCCAATTGCTTAACTTTAAATTATGTCGACAAATTAATAATGGATATATTTGTGATAAGAGCGTGAAGGCCAGCTCTTGGTGGGTTCGAAGTAATACTAAGTATTGGGATTTCGAAGGGGGGCATGTCCTATGAGGGAGCTTTAGCATTTTAATAAGGTTATCTGGACCCTGCATAGAAGGAATTTGCTCTTGTTTACTGCCTAGCTGGTCCTTTCAAGTACGTGTGATTAGTGCTAATTTGCTAAATGTTGTGGTTTCTTTTTTTTGCTGGAAAAATGTTGTGGTTTCGTGGTTTAATATCTTATCTTTTCTTGTGAGGAGAATTATTTTAAAAAGTATTTTAGCTGTCGCGCTGTACTGGATGGTCTGATTAATCAACACAAGTTGTGTAATTTACAGTTGTTGTGATGATTGGAGCCATGCATGTAGGTACTATATGGCTGACGTGTCAAGAAAGGAAAGTCTAAATTGCTTGCTTGTAGGATTAGATCGAGGAGGATGTTTGGACAGACATTTGGACGCTGGTTAAGAGAGTGCCAAAATAGATTAGGTTAGTTAACCTGGCGTGTCACGAACGGCTTCTGATTTGTTGTTTTCGAAGCAGAGCGGAGTGCACATGTTGGTTGACTCGATTTCTCTTTTTCTCGAATACGCACATCGTGGCCAGCTTTGCCGCTAGCTCCCGCGTCGCTGCTGCGACTCCGCCGCCGCCGCGGCTGTGGCTTAGTTCGCATCCCGTCCTTCACCCCTAACCATGGCATCTTCTCCCACCACCAACCTCACCCCCTGTGATCCCTCCACAGCCACCAACACCCCCACCCCTCCCCTCCGTCCTAGCTCCCCTGCAGATCCAGATCCAGTGCTGCTGGCTGCCGGTGCTGAGGATGGAGACGGGGACTCTCTCGCGCGCTCCGCAGATTGCCTTGGGATCCTCCCTCCGCTCAAGCTGCCACCACCTTCAGATCGGCTTCCTCCGAATTTCACGCCGCTGGTAGTGACCGATGCTTCGCAGGCACCAACGGAGAAGGGGTGGGTGGAGGTTGAGGGCCAGCATCGCCGGAGGCTGGAGAAGCTGTCTGCGCCGCCCCGCAAGAAGGACACTGACCGCTCCCTTGCTTTCAAGCGGAGAGCTTATGGGCTCTGGTTCTGTTGCTTGGCGGAGGACCACTTCGTCGCCGACTGTCGTGGGCTTGTCACCTGCCTGGGTTGCGGCCGCTCTGGGCATCGTGAGCGCGGCTGTCCGGGCCGCCTCCCTACCGGCAATGGTCATCTCCGCAGCTCCCTGTCGCCGCCGGCTGCTCCTCGCCTCCAACACCCGTCCCCAGCTCCTTCACCGCAGTTGCGGCAGCGCTCGTGGGCAGCAGTTGTTGCCGCCCCGACTGGGCTCGTTCAAGGGGCCCCTTGTAGCAACTCCGGCACCCCCTGGTCGGGTCAGTCCGGCCCTGACGAGTCGGCCTTGGCTGTTGATTTGGGGCTGCTGCAACCCCTCTTTGCAGCTCAGACCGAGGTGTTGCGCGCCGAGTTGCAGGCTCTGGTTACCGCTCGTGTGGAGGATGTCGTTCAACCCCTCCGTGACATGGCGGTTGCTCTGCAGGGTTGGGCGGCCCAGGTCTCGAACCTCTTGGAGCGGCTGGAGGCTATCAGTGGCAAAGTAGTGGGGAACAGTGGGGGATCTTCCTCCTTGGCGCCTTTGGGTTCGCCTCCTCCCTGGTGCGAGCATGAGGAGCCACCGGCGCCTCTTGTTGTTGCCTATGGCAAGGATGTCAGTCAGGCGGGAGTGGCCGGGTGCTCGTCTGAGGTGCTGGCAACTGTGGCGCTGCCTGCAGATGTTCTTCCTACGTTGGATGTCGTTCTGCACAAGACGGTGATTCTAGGAGAGGAGGAGCAAGCTAAGGTGGCTGAGATAGTCATAGCGAGCAATGATATGGAGCAGATTGAGGTGGCCTTGCCTGATGGTTTGGTTGGAGAGGTGCCTCCCTTCGTCCCCTCTTCAGTGAAGCTTGCTTCAGGGGGCACTACCAATATGATGTCTTCTGGGTCCGAGGAACCACTTGGTGATATTGGCGTGCCATCAACTACCTTGTTGGATGAGTTCCTAAACAGTTTCAGTTGCGTAGCACCGCGGTCCTTGCTCGAGGAACCGATTCATGTGCAGATTGAAGGGGCATCTTCTTGTTCCGAGAGGCGTAGTGGACGTTTGGATAAGAAGAATAGAAACAACAACATTCCTACTGCCAAACGCGCTGAATATAGGTTGGCGGAGGCTTATGGGGAACTACCGAAGGGGATGAAATCTAAGAAAGGCTCCGAAGAGGATGTGCAAGAGAAGATGAACTCTTATCTACGGATGTACAAGAAACCCCCTACGCCGACAGCGACCCAGGCAATTCGTGCATTGGTGGAGGCCAATGGTTGATCTCATTTTTCAAAAGGTTAGGTGCGAGTTCACATCGAGTTGCAGGCATGTTCTTCAGGTTGCAGTGGTTGTCTTGGTCGGGTATGTTGTGTTGACCATGGTCTTGGGCCTTGGCACCCTTGTATCTGGCTCGGACGACGTCCCTTGAGTGCTAGTCCGGTGTGTGTGGTCTTCGTCGGTTTCCCTTAATTAACTGATGCCATGTATGGTTTTTGGGTCCAGTTTCCCTTATTAACCGGACCAACTCTCTTCTTCTTAATGCAATGCGGGAGCTCCCCGCCCTCTGACGAGGCTCCGTCAAAAAAGAATACACATAGCATGTGTATCATTCATTAAAGATAGGGTAAAGGGTAAAGAACCGTCCACCGATGATACAATTACATAGTACATGATTTCACCTCCACAGCAAGTCCACTCGATCCACACCCTATCGGAACTACTCAGGGCTACCCCACAGGCTAAGCGATCCTAGGAGCTGATCTACATCATCTCGTATGAGACCCGCAGATCGCCAAGCTCGCCCTTCTGCTCCACACGGTGTACAACTGCAGCAGCGACGTCCAGAGTAGCCCATCAAAAACCAACGGGGTTTGATGCTTCCACAACTCCCATAAGACGAGTACTACAATGTTCCGGGTGTCCTTACCGCTCATCCCCTAGTTGGCGTTGCTCAAGCACCATGTATACAAGTTATCTTCCGCGGATGGCACCCACTCCGGCACTTCGAGGGCATTACTGCTACGTCTCGAGCTAGCGTTAGTTTTCCCCGAAGAGGAGGGGGTGATGCAGCACAGTAGCGTAAGTATTTCCCTCAGTTTTTGAGAACCAAGGTATCAATCCAGTAGGAGGTCACGCGCAAGTCCCTCGTACCTGCACAAAACGGTAGCAACTCGCAACCAACGCTTAGGGGTTGTCAATCCCTTCACGGTCACTTACGAGAGTGAGATCTGATAGAGATAATATTTTTGGTATTTTTGGTATAAAGATGCAAAGTGAAAAGTAAAAGCAAAACAAGTAAAATAAAGTAATGGAGATTGATATGATGAGAATAGATCCGGGGGGCATAGGTTTCACTAGTGGCTTCTCTCAAGAGCATAGATATTCTACGGTGGGTGAACAAATTACTGTTGAGCAATTGATAGAATTGAGCATAGTTATGAGGTTATCTAGGTATGATCATGTATATAGGCATCACGTCCGTGACAAGTAGACCGACTCCTGCCTGCATCTACTACTATTACTCCACTCATCGATCGCTATCCAGCATGCATCTAGAGTATTAAGTTAAAAACAGAGTAACGCCTTAAGCAAGATGACATGATGTAGAGGAATAAATTCATGCAATATGATAAATACCCCATCTTATTATCCTCGATGGCAACAATACAATACGTGCCTTGCAACTCTTTCTGTCACTGAGTAAGGACACCGCAAGATTGAACCCAAAGCTAAGCACTTCTCTCATTGCAAGAACTACTAATCTAGTTGGCCAAACCAAACGGATAATTCAAAGAGACTTGCAAAGATAACTCAATCATACATAAAAGAATTCAGAGAAGATTCAAATATTATTCATAGATAAGTTGGATCATAAACCCACAATTCATCGGTCTCAACAAACACACCGCAAAAAGAAGATTACATCGAATAGATCTCCACGAGAGAGGGGGAGAACATTGTATTGAGATCCAAAAAGAGAGAAGAAGCCATCTAGCTACTAGCTATGGACCCGAAGGTCTGAAGTAAACTACTCACACTTCATCGGAAGGGCTATGGTGTTGATGTAGAAGCCCTCCGTGATGGATGCCCTCTCCGGTGGAGCTCCGGAACAGGCCCCAAGATGGGATCTCGTGGATACAGGAAGTTGTGGCGGTGGAATTAGGTTTTTGGCTCCCTCTCTGGTCTAATGGGGGTACGTAGGTATATATAGGACGAAGGAGCACGTCGGTGGAGCTCCGAGGGGCCCATGAGGCAGGGGGGCGCGCCCTCCACCCTCGTGACCTCCCCGGAAACTTCTTGGAGTAG